TCGCGGTTACAAGGTGCAAGCCATGTACTACTTTAGTTTGCGAGCACTCGCGTTTCCCGTGCATGCTACGTGGTACACCCTAGCAGCTAGCGTTTTTATGTCCAGCTCGCAGAACAAGTTTGAAGCTGACGGAGACGGAGACCAAGCTTAGAACCAGCGATTCCAAGCTGAAGAACAGAGAGAAGCAAGTGAAAGAGTGCAGGAGAAGGTGGAGCTAGCCAACTCGCAGGTACGCGAGCCTAGCTAAACAATGGAGCTTTTCGAGCTGGCGCGTAAAATAGTCTTCAGGGAAAAATGATTTCCAGACGAGTAAAGCACTTACGCATGACGGTCTCCATCCATTGCAGTCTTGCATTGAGTTCGCTGTCTTGTTTAGATGTCTCGATTGCTTTGAGATGCGTTGCCAATGTTCCTTGGGCAACGTTAAAACTGAACCCATCGACAATTGTAGAGATGGTTTTGTTGCAAGCCATTTTTTTGCCCACATTGCCAGCGCCTTCTCTTCGGAGCATTCGTTATTTCTGTGAGCGCTTGCACGCGTCTGGCTGAGAGCAATCTGGATGGCGTCGTAGTGCTGTCACGGAGGACAGCAACAGCAGCTGTGACTGAAGCGCCGTGACAGCCGCCGTCAGAGGCACTGTGCCAGCGGCCATCTTTCCGGCTCTGTGATCCTGCCTCTGTTACATCGGCTCTGTGACGACTCTGTTACATCAAGTATGTGACAACTCTGTTGCGTCCGCTCCGTGGCAAAGTCTGTGACAGCGGTCCTGGCCTGGTCTGGTCTGGTCTGGTCAGCTGGTCTGTCTCAGGGACACGATGATAGCAGGCTTGCAGCAGAGGCAATGCCACGGCGACTTTGTTACAGCTCTGCCATGACAGTAACTGCGACAGCGGCCGTTTGACAGCCGCAATGGCAGCATCCTAGTGAAAGCATAAGCTGTGACAGCATCTGTGTAAGAGCAGCAGCTGGGACAGTATATGTCTCAGAGCAGCAGCTGGGACAGCGTCCGTGAGAGAACAGCAGCGGTGGCAGCACCTGTGTGTGAGCAGCAGCGGTGACAGCACCTGTGTGTGATCAGCAGCGGTGACAGCACCTGTGTGTGAGCAGCAGCGGTGATGGTACCTGTGTGTGAGCAGCAGCGGTGACGGCTTCTGTGTGTGAGCAGCAGCGGTGACAGCACCTGTGTGTGAGCAGCAGCGGTGATAGCACCTGTGTGTGAACAGCAGCGGTGATGGCACCTGTGCGTGAGCAGGCGGTGACAGCACCTGTGTGTGAGCAGCAGCGGTGATAGCACCTGTGTGTGAGCAGCAGCGGTGACAGCACCTGTGTGTGATCAGCAGCGGTGACAGCACCTGTGTGTGATCAGCAGCGGTGATAGCACCTGTGTGTGACCAGCAGCGGTGATAGCACCTGTGTGTGAGCAGGCGGTGACAGCACCTGTGTGTGAGCAGCAGCGGTGACGGCTCCTGTGTGTGAGCAGCAGCGGTGACAGCACCTGTGTGTGAGCAGCAGCGGTGATGGCACCTGTGTGTGAACAGCAGCGGTGATGACACCTGTGCGTGAGCAGCAGCGGTGACAGCGGTCTGGCGCGTGCCCGCAGCTGACTGAGACCCAGGAGAAGTGGCAGCAGCTGGACAGCAGTCAGCGTAGCTTGTCCTCCCACTGGCTGACGGAGCGGGATCAGCTGAAGGCCGAACTAGACCAGCTGAAGGTCCGCTGTGCCGACCTTGAGAAGACCAACACGGAGAAACAGCGTCGCCTCAAGGAGATGGTGAGCGGCTGTGACCGTCTGGTCTGGCACTCTCACCTCGGGAACACCCGTAACCGACAGATGACGCAGTAACGTGTTCGAACTAGCGACAAAGTTGGTGGCCCTATTAGACTTTAGAGGTCTGGATCAGGGCATCAGTTGGGAGCAATTATGCACGCGTTCTGTTTGCTAGCAGCTGGATCGGAGCACTGACGCTGATCACAATGCTCATGATTCATCGATGTTTCCGCAAATTGTGGGCCAATGTAGATAAAGCCCAGTGGACACACTGCCTGCCTTCTGGTCAGGTTTTTACACTCCAACACTCACCCAATGTAAACCCACATTTTGAACCGCAGGGTCAAGTGTTTTTATTGCTTCTAGCATGTGTTACCAAAAACCGCACCTGATAAGTGCCTTGTCTTAGGGCTGCACAACTATCTCCAGTTGTGTTAGGACATCGGTCCTTTTGCTGGACGTTGTTTGCTGCATAGTTCTGCTTAGTTTTGTTCGCAGGCTTATTTTAACGCGTTCTGATGTTATTTCACCATCGTGAGAGATTAGCTAAATAGTTTTATTAAATAAATACATTAAATAAACATAGATTAGCTAAATAACTATTTAGCTAAATAGTCAGCATGACAGCCATTAAGTACGCGTGAAAGCCGTCTTCAAAGTGCAGACACGTCACCCTGACGAATACGGTTATTAGTGGTGCTTCATGGATGTCCATGACATGATGATACCCGATGACAGGAGGAAACCAGGGGGAAAGTGGCCTCCACCGCGGGCGGCGCTTCGATCGCAAAAATCGATGCGCTGCAGAAGGAGAAGACAAAACTGGAGAGGCAGGTCAAGGAATTCGAAGAAAAAATCAGCCAGGTACGGGCAGGTAGTCTTATCCGTGGCAAGTGTACCGGCTGCACCCCAGAAAGGATTTCTTATCATTCCCATAAAAATATATGCCACTGTCCTCTTTTCCTCTTTGTTTCTGTCACGTGCCCTCCCTTCTTACGAGGAACTTTCCCCGGTCGATCTGGC